GCGAAGGCTGACTTTGCGGCACCATCATCGGACGATGTCGACGAGTTGGGTCGCTCTCGCGGTAGCCAGATGACCTCTCATACTAGGATCATCGGCCATGGCCGCAGGGAGCGCGGGGGAGGGCGCTGGATGCAACACGGAGCTCCGTTGGAGACGTTTTCAAGATTAGCGTGTCAGAGAGTGAAATGGCACTAGCCCTCTACTGTGAGATTTAGCGAGAGCAGAGGTGTCCGTTTTATTTATTTATTTTGCGCGAATACTTTTTAAATCTCTATACTGCGACCGTCTCGGCGGCAGCCGGATCTCGGACGTCGGAGAACGGCGCATCCGTCGTCCATGGCCCACCGTCCTCCATGAGCTCGTCCCACTGGGGGTGGCGCACCGACACGCATTCGTCGCCCACGGCCGCATTCCTCATCACGACGCCCATCGCCCAGTAGGTCTCCTCGGTCTCCTCATCAATGTACTCCACCTCCACCGGGTCGCCCTTTTTGAAGGCGAGGGCGGTCGCGCCCCGCCCGCCGCGAGCTCGCTTCGGAGGCTTCGCCCGTGGCGTGTCGGCGGGCCACTCTCCGTCGGGCGGCAGGCCGGAGGCGCGCTGGTCGGGCGTGCAGCGCGCCAGGTACTCCTTGACCTTCGCGGCTCGGTCGTCGCCGTGCTTGTAATGAATCGGGTGTGGCGTGAAGTGGCACACGACCTTTTCACGTCGGTCGTGCCGATCGCGCGTCGAGCCGGACCACCTGCGAGGGGCAGCGCGACCCCGCCGTCAGTCCCGCGCCAGTCCGGAAAGAGAGGGAGGGGGGGGGCTGCCGTGGCGCGTCACCCGCAGGCAGTGCACACGTAGTAGGTGCAAAGGTGCGACGACCGGTCGAAGCCCTTGGGCTTGTTCCGCCCGCTTCCCTTGCTCCGTGGCGCAGCGAGCTGGGTGGAGGCGGCGCTTGGGGCAAGGGCGAGGGTGGTGGTCGTACTGGCGGATGCAGGGCCGGCGGAGGCATCGGTCGAGCTGGCCGCAGCGAACTGGGTGGAGGCGGCGCTTGGGGCAAGGGCGAGGGTGGTGGTCGTACTGGCGGATGCAGGGCCGGCGGAGGCATCGGTCGAGCTGGCCGCATCGGCGGGTGCATCGGTGGGAGCAGCGGCGGGTGCAGGGGCCGGATTTGCAGCTTGTTGTGATCGGTGCGCTGCAGCCACTCTGTCGACGGCTATTCTGTCGGCGTGGTCGCCGTCAAGCAGTCGCACCATCGATGGCTGCTCCACCGATGTGACGTACAGAAGCTCGCTCGGCACAAGCAGCGGCATGAACTGGCCGCGGACGACGGTTGGCGCTACCCCGTCCTCGTCAGCGGCGGGACACGCCGGCAAAGGGCGCAGCGGTGCGAGCAGACGCGCCACCATGGCGCCGAGGTGAGGTTTGCGACAGCGCGCGAGAAGAGCTGAATTCTTTTTCCTTCGGCGCGATGGCGGCAAGCCCTCGTGCACGCCCGCCCTCGACACGCCGAAGACCAACCGGCGACGGACCGCGGTGAGACCGCGCCGCCCTCCGCGCCCGCCCGCGCCCGCAGCGTGAACACATGCGCGCGTCCCTCTCCGCACGGAAACTTGCGCGCCAGCCGCGCAGCAGCCTCACATGCAGCGCGCATTGGCATGCTCGCCCCCTGGGCCGCCGACGGCCCGGTCGAGCGGGCTGCGCGGCCGCCGCACACCATCAGGCAGGCGCACGACCACCTGCAGCACGCCGCAGCCCACCGCGCAGCCCTCCCAGCCAAGGCTGCGCCTCACAGCTACACAAACAGGGCGCACAGCAGAGCACAGCGCATAGCACACGCCGACGCGCGCGCAGCACACGCAGACTCACGCGCGAATCCAACACGCACACGCGCACAGCACGCGCGCATCGCACGCCAGCGCAGCGCTGCACACAGAGCACACTAGACCATACCAGTGGTACTGGTACCATCGCCTCTGAGAGGCACCACCCCTCGGGGAGGGGGCGCGTCCGCCCAGCGGCCAGCGCCCCTCCGCCCAGCGAGCGTACCCGCAGCGCCCGGGGAGCGAGCGTCCGCCCTGCGGCCAGCCCGCTCTCCCCGCACGGCGTCGACCGCCCCCAAAGCGAGACAGGATGCACCCGCATAGTTCCAGCCGCTACGGCTCTATACGGGGGCATCCTCTCCCCCATCCGCATTTGAGGAACTGCGTACTACACTGCGTCACCCTCCCCAGCATCACAGTGGGTTGCCTTTTGGGGTCTGAGCCCAACGGAGAAAAAAGAAAAGTGACCAAAATCGGCCCTGGATGTGCGGTTAATGACTGCACTCCAAGTGCTCCAAGTGCTCCAAATCGAAATCAGAAACCACGCGAGATCCACGTCTCCCGCCCCTCGGCTCTCGCGCGAGCCACGATCTCCTGCCCGATGTCCGAAAACGGAAGGCACGAATAGCCGGACACAGGAACGGCACAGCTCAACGGCAGAAATCCCACACACACATCCACTCACCTCTCGCACGAACAGTCGAACAGGTTCCCAGAGCCGGACGCAGGAACGGCACTGGCCAAAACACACCCACACCTGACGCACGAACAGGTACGAACAGCCGGACGAAGGAACGGCAGCCGTCACACACCCAGCCGGGGCAAGACAGAAGGCCGCCGAGGGGAAAGGGAGTTCGCAACTAAACGGCCGAAGCGGGTATCTCTCCAGTTCACGCCCGCCGACCCCGATGCACCTTATTACCCGAACCCCCTACCTGCAAGCCCACCGAGAGGGGTAGGGGTCAGCCTTGTTCAATTAAACACGAGTTCCACCGTAGCGCCGCATAACTCTAAGCGCGCGTGTGAGCGAGGGCAGAAATGCAACGCTCACGCGGTCCCGGGCTCGGTCCTCCCACATTCTCTAAATGATGAGTCTCGCTCTCCCTTATACAATAAGCTATAAGGGGCCTCTGCGAAATAAAAAGCGGAGGCCTCAGTGGGAGCGAACTCTGACGGAGAGGGAGGTTCCCCGTGTTTGTTTGACAGCGCGCGAGAAGAAAATGTTCTTCACGAGCGACCCAGCTCGAGGGTTGCTCCTGACTCTGGCCTTTTCTGGGTCACGTAGCCACACCTCGCCTCCTCGGTGCGAGTGGCTGCCAGTTCGACTCTGGGGAGGATCGAACCATTAACAGAAAAGAACGCGCGGGCGAATAAGATGGCGCGCTCAAGCTGCGAACTCGTTTTCAAAGTTTGTTTTTTGGACACGGGCGCGGACTGGCGCGGCTAAAGCCGCGTAACAGCTTCTAGCACAAAAAAGAAAAAGAATTTACCGCCAAACTCCCTCGGCCTCGCACGACACACTAGTAGCAAGTGGCACGGCGCCACGGGACTTGCTAAAAATCTCTGTGTATGGCGCGCACAAAAAGAAATCCGGCGGTTCAAGTCGCAGAGTGGCTAGCGCGTAACGGCCCACAGTGCACAGTTTTGGGGTGCGGTAAAGGATTGATGGGGCGTCTTTACGATACGTAGGGTCTCGGTCGCGCCCGGGGGGGCGTCAGTGCCGAGGGCCCCCAGCGCGCGCCGCGTATGCACGGAATCCACGACACTAGAAGACGTATCCCAGTCACATGCCCGATGAGGCGCGCGTGTCCGTGGGCTCAGCCGGCTTCCCAGTCACGAGGCCTCACCTCCCGCGCCCTCCCCGCCTAAATGTCGTGCTGCGACAAGTCCGAGCCGGTGCCGGGGAAGTACCTCTCAGTGTTGGCTGACAGCACGGCGACGTTGGAGATGAGGTGGCAGTGGACGAGCCTGCCGGGCGGCGGGCACGAACGCCGCGTGAGGGCCGCTGAGGGCGGCAGCGGGAGGCGGAGGAGGCGGGGAGGAGGGCGGCCGGGGAGGGGAGGGAGCGCCAGTTGTAGACGAGGACAAACTTGACGAGTCGGTCCTCGCCGTCCGCCGTCTCGACCTCGACCACGTACTCCTTGACGGCGGTCATCTTCTCCCTCCCCCGCTTCTGCTGCCACTCCGAGTCGTCTCCCACGAGCCGGTATGCCTGCGTCTGTCGCAGAAAGGCAAACCGCTCGGAGAGGAGCTGCCCAAAGCTGCTCTCATCGACGAGCGCGCCGGACGGCTGGCCGCTGATGACGCGGCTCTTTGCCCAGTCCATCCGCTTTGACCAGTCCGTGTTTGATCGATGCGTGCCGGCCCGCCACGGCGGCAGGCTCGTGAAGGCAAAGGCCGCCTCGTCGTTGCCTGCGCCCAGCTGCAGCACCACGTGCTCGACGACCTGCTTTGGCGACGTCTGGCCCTGCGGGCCGAGCTTGCGCAGTTTTTCGAACTTGCCCAAATCTGAGTCGCGCCCGCGCTTGGCTGCCTCATCCCTGAGTGCCGCCATCAGCTGATGGAGAGAGTCCTCCTCGCCGCAGCGCACGCAGCCGGCGCGCGAGGTCGCCGGCGCGCGGCGGCCCACAAGCAGTCCGAGGGAGCAGAGGAGAAGCATCACGCCAGTCGGGACCGTCCACCCGACTCTAACAACGGCGCGATCACCTTGCCGGGCAGTCGAGAGTATCTAGATATCTGATACCTGGGTACGCGAGTAGACTCGAGCGAGGCGGGCACTCGAGCTTACCTGGGGCAATTTCCGTCACATGCGGGCGCGTGCAGGCGGCCGCAAGCTCACCGTCCACTCAAAAGCCTCCATCGCGCTCAGCCCAGGTATTCCCAGACTGACTGTGTCCGCCTTCGCTTGTTGACAACGAAGTCTAGCTCAAAAAAAACTGCGCGCTTTTTCTTTATAGGCGTCTCACAGCTGCGTTAAAATCCCTGTGTGGTGGCGGCGTGCCGTCCTCCCATCCCTCCCTTGGGTTGTCTGCTTTTTCTTTCTTTTTTCGCAGCTGCGTATTCTCGAAATCCCTGTGTGGTGGCGGCGTGCCGTCCTCCCATCCCTCCCTTGGGTTGTCTGTTTTCTTTCTTTCTTTCTTTTTCTCGCTTACCCATACGCACGGTACAGCGCTCACCCGAGCGCCCGTCTGCACGACGTAGTACGACTCCATCACCCCGAGCATGCATTCCTCCTTTCGCAGGTAAGAAGCCGCCCCCGTGTACTGCTCGAGCTGCTGCGTCTCCCAGTGCACGAGCACTTCCAACCGCGCCCGCTCGAACACTCCCTGCGCGGCTCGCGGCACCAGCGACGTGCCAGCGCCGAGCGCGTTCAGCGATCTGCCAGCGTACTCCTTCGCACGTTGCCCGCGGCGCGCCGCCTCGCGCCCCTCACTGTCCGCGTCACGCAGCTGCTCCTTCTCGCCATCGCAGTTCCAGCACCTCGTCGCCCGTGCATCGTTCCGCGTCTCGCGCCGGCAGTAGATGCACTGCCAGTGAGTGAGGCGCCGATCCATCCGCCTCGTCTTGTTTGCTCGCGTCGGCCCGACGTCGCCTCTGCGCTCATCTTGTGTGATCGCGCCTTCGCCGGCCTCCCGAACAACGCATGCAGGCAACGGTTGTGTCCCGCCACCGAACTCCCTGCCGGTCCCGTGGAGCTGCCCCATCGGCTGCAACGGCCCGGTGTACATCACCACGTCGCCGACCGGCGCGGACAGTGGCTGCAGTATTGCCACCGGCGTGATCGTTCCTCGCGAAGTCGTCGACAGCCGAGGTCTCGCGAGCCACTCGTCGGTTCCCTGCGGGAGCCGCTCCTCGATTCGTTGCGTCTCCGCTCGGTCGTCCATCGCCGCCAGCGGAGGCCGAGCGCGTCGCGTATCGATCGAGCTCGCGATCCGGGCCGTGGAGCCCACGAGGAAGACTTCGTCTGCTGGGACGGAGTCCCGACGCTCGCTGCGTCCGCCGGAACTGGGGTCTGCACACCTTTCGTGGCCGCGTCCCGCAGTGGGTACCCGGGTACCTGGGTACGCGAGTAGTACCGGGTCTGGCGGGTAGAGGCGCTCTCTCGAGGTCTCTTGGAGCAGAGCCCCGGCTTACCCAAATGGGTCCTCGGAGAGGGTACCCTGGGTGGGCGGGGCCTCTACTCGCCAGGTACCGGGCTGGCGAGGACTTCCAGCCTGCTGTCTGTGAAAACAGCTGACGCAGTCTCGCAAGGCTCTCGGGTTCCCTCGCCCCCCCGGGCAAGGGAGGACCCCGTGAGGCGTGGGAGTGCCTCGCCAGGTACCGGGTAGAATGAGTTCAAGCGCGCTCGATCCGACATGTACATCTTCTGCGACTATATGGAGCGGCTGCGCTTCACAATCGTACCAAAAAAGATGCAAGGAAGGACTGTTGAGGCGACAACTCCACTACTCCAGGCCCCAAATGATGTGTGAGTGTTAGTTAGAGTTGTTTGGTATTGCTAAATCTCTCTCTCTCTCTCTCTCTCTCTCTCTCTCTCTCTCTCTCTCTCTCTCTCTCTGAGGCGAGAGAGGGGGACTACAGGAGTTCTAGGATTATGCCATGTTCGCTGTGCTCCCAATCAATCGCCAATCGGAGGCATGCGTTGCTATTACACCCTACCTAATAGGGTTGCGGAGCCGTGCTGCATTTAGACTTCGCTCGGATTGTGAGTTACGCTGGTATAGTTAGTAGTCGTAGACGATCGAGCGAGTTGGCCTGTACGAGAGTTTCCGGCAACCCAGAGGGAAACCAAAGGGTCCCCAGCACTTTGCGTTTCCGGAAATTTCCAGGGCCAGAGGGTGTTTGGAGCTCCATTCTGGGAAACTCGAGCGAGAGTTCCCTGAGTCTGAGAGCTGGTCTGGGCACTGGGGCAAAATCTGAGGCGAAACCGAGGAAACCGGCAAAATACCCGGTGTTTTCCAGGTATACCCGGTATATTTTGCCGAGTTGGCCTCATTTGGGCCCAAACCAGCCTCAGTGCTCAGACTCGGCTCAGAGTCTAGCTCAGAGCCCGAAAAAAATGGATGGTTTCCCCGGAAAATAGAGAGGAAACGAGAGGGTGCTGTAGTTCTGTAGAGAAACACGGAAAAGAAACGAGGCAGGGTGCGAGAGGAAACATACGTACAGCCTAACTAACGAGCGAGGGGTCCCGTCCGGACCTGAGGGAGGGTGTAGAGGATGTAGAGGATGTAGAGTGTAGAGCGCTGTAGAGCTGTAGAGATGTAGAGCGCTCTGGAGCGCTGCCTGTAGAGCTGTAGAGCTCTACATCCGCCGCGTGACGATGTGCCTCCGTTGTAGAGCGATGTAGAGGCGCTCTACAACGTGAAATCTCTACAACAAACTCTACAACAACAACAACATCATGTGCATGTGCATGTGCATCATGAGCGGCGAACGAGGCACGCACGGTCGCTCTCCGACATGAGGCGCGTTGCACTTGCCATTGCTGCCCTGGCCTTCTGTCTGCCCGCCCAATGGGTGGGGCAGGTGCCTCCGCTGCTGTGGCATGCCTCACGGCTGCGACTGGCCGGCGCCTCGGCGCGTCAGCTCGGCTCGGCGTAGCGATAGTGGCCAGCGCAACTCGCCTGGACTCAACGCTCAGCCAGGAGCTCCAGCACGCGCCGGCGCGAGTCATGGCGCATGCAACGCGCAGCAATGCTCGCCTCGCCTCGCGCAAATGCGACCGTCCTCGCAGCCGACAGTCCACCGCCTGCTAAAGAAGCACAGCGATGAATGCGGCACCGGCGACGCATGGCAGGCTGGTCATGACGCAGTCATAGGGTGTTGTGTGCCGTCAGAGTGACTCTCTGTGTGTCAGGGATAGTCAGGGCCGTCCATCATGATCAGAGCTCCAGTAAGCTCGGAGACACCCCATTAGTGCGGCTCGACCTCTTTGAGTCACTGCCTTCCCGGCGGTTTTACTGTAGAGCCTCTACAACAATGATTCAACAAACTCTACAACAAAATCGCGCTCCACCAATCGCTCTACATCGGACTCACATCGTCCCGCGCCGGATGTAGAGCTCTACAGCTCTACAGCGCTCCAGAGCGCTCTACATCTCTACAGCTCTACAGCGCTCTACACTCTACATCCTCTACACCCTCCCTCAGTCCCGTACCATGGTTCCATGCGGAATCGACACATTGTGAGCGGAGCCGGTCGTTCGTAGTCTTCCTGCAGATAGTAGATAGATGTAGGATGGATTGCGAGTCTGAGAGAGATTTTTGAAAACCAACCAGAAATCACACGACTCTGCGTCTCACTGTTGATGTGACAAAACAAATGGTTGATGTGGGCGCGGCATTGGCCATTGCGAGCGAGTGCGGGCGGGCGCTCGCAATCGTACAGTGAGATGCTAGGATTGCAAGGAGTGCTGCTCACAAGCATTCGCCTATACGATTGCGAGAGAGGCTGCTAACTTTCTTTTCGCTTTTCAAACTTTAAAAATTACGCGCGCGCGATTGTCGACGGGCACGTCCAAACCGCCGCTCCATCTCCATCCCACCGCTGAATGGTGCCGCACGGCGAAACCGACCTCTCGCGGCTGCTGGCCACGCTGTCACCGACGCTCCAGGAGGGCGAGTTCTACTTCGCCTCGCTCCGGCCCGCGACCTCCACCGCCGGCGCTCTTGCCGACGCCGCCCGCGCCGCCGCCATCGGCACCTTCCGGGAGGCAGAGGGCCTCTCGCTCATCCTGCCGGCTGCGCACACCGAGCTTCCAGATGGCGCAGCGCGCTCTACCACGCAGCGCCTCATCTCGCTGGAGGTGCACTCTTCGCTCGAGGCCATTGGCCTCACCGCAATTGTATCGCAGCGGCTCGCAGAGCTCAGCATCTCTTGCAACGTCGTGGCAGCCTTCCATCACGACCACATCTTTGTGTCGGCAGACAAGGCGGATGCGGCCGTCGATGCGTTGCGCGGCATCCAAGCAGACGCTGCTGCAGCCGGCCGATGACCGTTGTAAGGTTCTTTGTGCGGTGCACACCTTGGGGCTGTATTCCCCAAGATCTCTCGTCATTTCCTCCTCGCTCTCGCTCGCCCCGTCCGCACGTCAGTCACGCCCTCGGTTTTGAACCACGCCGGACGGCGACCGGCAAAGCGCAACGAGGACGCCGGCAACCGATCTGACGGGGGTGTATGACAGGACGCTCTCCGCGGCCCGTGTGTGTCCGATTGTGTGTGCGGCGCTGAGGGCAGAGATAGACTGTCGCGCCTCGCGGCACCGCTAGCCGGTGCATGAGACATGTCGCGCTCGGTCACGGGCGGCACCTTCTGCTCCGCTCGTCGCCGTCCGCCCGGTTCGTGTGTCAGCTCACAGCTGACGCTCACGGTGGTGCCTCTCCCCCATCCAGCCCCCATCGGCCAGTGTGAACACAAGCTACAAGGCTGAAACACCTGAAGAGTGAAGTTCACGCGCTGAAGCCGCGCGCAGAGACGCTCTTATATCAGCATCGCGGCACGAGACCCGGCCTGCGGCCGCTCGCGACGCGCACGCCGGCCACACGCAATTCACCTGGCCTCGCTACCGCAAGTCGTAAAAAAGTCTGTCAAATAGTTACGCGAGTGCCGTGTTGCACCCCTCGCTCGCGACATCTTATCGACACGCGCGCCGCGCCCGAGGGAGCCGAACGACACTCTCGCGTCCGTCCGCTCCCACGAGTCATAGGCACAACGCGGCACGTCGATCCGCGTGCAACCCCGTTGGGACGAGGCGTCATGCGAGCCAGAGTCAAGTAGCGTAGGTGTGTGGCGCGAGCGCGCGCGGCGCGGCGACAGGTCCACCGGGAGGAGAGGTCAAGTTGCGGGTCGGGGGTGGAGAGGCTGTGGAGAGGTGGGCGGCAGCTGCCGCACGCGGAGGAATGCGATCGAGGGGGCGTCGCTCAGCCGGCGCGCCCCTCCGCTCAGGCGGCGATCAACCTGCGCGCCGAGGCGAGCAGCCACCGCCCCACCCCAAGCTCGAGCAGCGCCTTGACGGTCCAGCCGACGCCCATGGCGCACGCGAAGAGGGACGTGGCGAGCGAGAGCTTGGCGGGGACGTCCGGCTGGTGCATCCGCTCCCCCATCTGCACCGACAGCTCCCCCACCACCGCGGTGAAGGAGGACATCGCCAGCATCGTCCCCACGCCGAACGAGGAGAGGTACGTGAGTGCGCAGACGACGGACGGCATCGCAAGGGCAGGCATCACGCCGAGGAGGTGGCCCGAGCCGGAGCAGCCGTGCAGGATGCCGGTGAGCAGCGTCGAGGCGACCGACTGCCGCTCCGACGGGCCTCCCCCCGACGGAAGCAGCGCCGCAGCCGGATCGTCCTCGCCCGGTGCGCCGAGCGGAGCCACTGCGGCGGCGACCGAGCCGTCGATTGCGCTTCCCGCCGCGTCGCCCGCCGCGCGCTCGTCTTCGGCGAGAGCACGCGCCGCCTGCACGTCGCTGCTCCACTCGCGCGCCTGCGCAGGGCCACGGCAGCGGATCAATGCCTCCTCTCTGTCGGTGTGGCACCGCGCGTGTGCCGCACGCTCTCTCTCTCTCGCGCGCGCACGCCTCACGCACGCCGTTGACGCCGATGATGAGGATCGAGATGCCGACGGCCGCCTCCATGTAGACACAGATCGCGTCGAGGTTGAGCGCGCCGCGCACCAGGAAGGCGAGCAGCCCCACCAGCCCGGCGCCAATCCCGTGCCCGAGCCCCCAGTAAAGGCCCGTGTATAGCGCAGTCCACCACCGCCGCCCTATCGAGAGGGGCAGCAGCGCGGCGAGGTGGTCCGGGCCCGTCACCGCGTGCAGCGAGCCGGCAAAAGTGCCGCCGATGCCAGCGGCGAGCAGCGGTCCACTCACCGCCGGAAGCACCAAACTCGCCCTCGGTGGCGCGTGCCGGTGCCGTCGGGCTGAGGCGAGCAGCGGCGAAGGTGCAGCAGCGGGCGCGGCGAGGCGCGGACGCGATAGCGGCCGTGTGGCGGATAGCGCTGGCGCCGCGAGCAGCAGCAGCAACATGCAGGGCCGGGCGCCACCGCCAGCGAAGGGTGGAGATGTGCTCCCGTTCGCGGATGAAGAATTTCGCGAAGCTGGAGATGGGTGCCGCGCCTCTGTCCGGAGTGGCCGGAGCCCATTCTCGCTAGCCCTGCCCCGCAGCGCGGCCGCTCGCCAAGCCCTCCAGATGAGTGAGTGGTCAGATGGAGAAGGAGATTTTTGCATAGTGCCCGAGAGAGAGCGAGGGGTCCGGGGGGGAGCACAAATAGGACGCCCAGCCCTGCCCTCGTGCCGCCGAGTGTGTATCCTATGCGAGAGAGATCCCCTGTGCCCTGTGCCCAGCCCTCTCCGCGCGGCGATGCGCCCTCCCCCCTCGCTTTTGCAAAATCCTGCAAAGGTGGAGACGTGTCTGTCCTCGACCCAGGTAATAATTATTAATTATTAATCCTCGGGCGGCGGCGCGGCGCGGCGGCGGGCGGCGCGAGGCGGCGGCGCGGCGAGGCAGCGGGCGGCGCAGGGCGGGGCGGCGCGGCGGCGGGTGGGGTAATTAATTATTTGTTAATTAATTATTAATTATTAATCATTGGGTGGCGGCGCGGCGCGGCGGCGGGCGGCGCGGAGCGGGGCGGCGCGACCATCTGCAGTTACCGGGTCTGATCATTGGAGAGCAGCAATGGTCGCGCCGCCCTCGACTCAAGGGGCTGCCTTCCACCCGTAGCTGCTCAGGCCGGGGGAGGGGGGGAGACCTCCACAGTTCCTCGCGGAACGGGAGCAGGCCCCTCCTTGCCCGGTCTGCGATGCAGGGCGGTGGTCGTGCCATCTTCGCTTCGTACACGCAACCACCACGCCGCAACCGTCGCCGGCGCGCGACACGTTCTCGTCAGCAGGACTGTCCTCGTCGAGTGTGTGTCGCCAAGGCGAGACACACTCAGGGACGGAGCCGACGGGACGCGGCTCGAAGGGCGTGGCTCCGCAGCGCGGCTGGCACTCGTCGCAGAGGCCTCACCTTCGAAAAGTCGGGCATGGCTCTACCCGCAACTTTCTCGACACGCGCGCACCGCCGAGCCTGCGGCGGGCGCGCTGCGGCCGCACGTCTAACTTCGTCATAGTGCCACGACGTGCGGCCTAGAGTTAGCACACGCGCTTCTGCTCGCAAACACTCACCCATTGAATTGTCACTGCCCGTGAGTGCGAGATAGGGCTAGCGGCAGGCTGCTAGCCTCTGAGGAGGGCGTCCATAGACACCTCACATGACCCCCCACACGGTCTCGTCTATGCCTTGCGGCTGGCGGCGAGATTGCTAGAGGCGGAGCAAGCCTGCTCTATTCTCACATGATACCGAGCGATTCTAAGATCAGGCCTGCCACCTCCCCGCTGGAAACGAAAATCTAAGTTTCAAATCTCGAATAAATCTCGAAGCACACTTGAATGCTCACTTGGCAGGTAACATATGCGCCACGCGCCCCAACCGCTCCTCTGGTCGCCGCCGGCCTCCGCGGCGGCGGCGATGTCCCAGCGCCACCCATCGGCCAGCCCTCAGATCGATCGATCGGCGCTCAAAGTCGGCTTCAGATCCGAGAACGCTGCTGGCGCCGCCGCCGATCCCAGCGGCGACGCCAGCAGCTTCCTCTGCTCTCCAATGCGCCGAGAAGCGACGCGGGGGTGCTCGGCCCGCCATGGACGACGAAGGTTCCGCCGGGCGCGCGTCAGCCGGTCCGGTGGCACCCTCTGCGCGCGGCACCTGCCGGCGCCCCGACGACAGCCGTCGCGCCACCGCTGATGGAGGGGCGGTCGGCGCCGCTGCCGCCGCGCCGCCGGTGGGAGGGGCACTGGTGGTGGCCTGGGCGGCCCTCCGCCGCCGCTCGGGGCGCCCGGGCAGCGGTGGCAGCCTGCCGCCGCACCACTTCGAAATGCCCGCTGACCACTTCGAAATGCCCGCTCCGGCGGCCCGCGCTCGGCGCTATTCTTTTTTCTACTAAGCAAAATTCAAGCCAATTGAGGAAACTGAAGCGGGCTGGCTGGAAGCACTGAGGGACGGCCGATTTCCGCCCAGTGGTAGACCTGATCTTAGAATCGCTCTACCTCCTGTCGTCTGTTGTGTTGTTGTGCCCTTGTTTGTTCCTTTGGCACCTTGGAGTGCTGGGGGGGGCGACAGGCCGAGGGAGGATGTGGCCCTGAGTTATGTGTACGCCAACTCAGGGTGTGTGGCAGCCACGCTGGCTGTGTGTCTTGTGAGCTTGTTTGTGCCTGTGTGTTGCTCGTGCGTGTCGTCATCATCTGTCCCGCGTCCACCCATACCGCGCTCGTGGTGTCCAGTCCTAGCCTGACTGTTCTTCACCTTTCTACCTACCTACCTGCCATTGAATGCGCACGCGCGCGCGTGCGGTGCGCGCCTGAAGGCCAGCGGAGCGACGCACCTCTTCGTGGCGGCGATGCACCACAGTCAGCGGCTCGCCTTTGAGAAGGGCATCGGCAGCGCTGCCACCGTCTTCTGGTACGGCGACGCCGTGGGGCAGCAGGACCAGAGCGTGGCTCAGTAGGAGGCACGGATCGTGGACTTGCTGCTCCTCTCGCGCATGGATGAGCTCCTCGTTACGACGCATCCACTTTTGGCCACATGGCGCGAGCCATGGCGCTGGCGGCTACTGGAAAAGAGCGACCCGTTGGCCTTTGCGCTAGCCAACACACGCGGGATGCTGCCGCCAAGCAAGGACACCAAGGGGCGCGCTCTCGTGCACCTTGGTTGATGCCGTGCAAGCGGTCGACGAGAAGATACGTGTGTGCGAGCGACGTGTGGGACGCAACACTTCTGAACCGAATCACGAACGCTCATCGCCTGTGCTTGTCGTCATATCGCTGTGCGGCAACCTGCAGACGCACTGGAGAAGCGGAACGGCGCGATGAGGGCTGCTTTTCCCCGTATCTCGGCGCGGGCTCGGCGGCTAGGAGGGCGGCGGGCGGAGCCCGAGGAGCCACAGTGCAAAGCGTGCTGCAGATGTTTTCCGCGAGGCGGCATGCGCGCCCGCGAGCGCGTGTGTGTTCCCGAAGTCGCTCCTGTGAATAACGGTTTCGGTTATACCAGGGGCAGGCCAGTGCTGGCGATTTACTGGTATAGCCCCCCAGAACAATCAAACACTCTACGGCCAAAACAATCAAATGGTGGTAAGATTTACCACGACTTCTGAGGCAAAATCTGTCGGAAAAATCGGAAAAATACCCGGTATTTTCCAGGCATACCCGGGTTTCCCCAGGTAAAATTGACCCTAGGGCGTCCGCCAGCGCGCTGCGCCGCACACCCCGGCGCACAGGAGGCGGCGCCGGCCGCACCTCGGCCGCCTCGGCGGCGCCCGCGGCACGGGTGCCATGCTCGCCGTCCGCGCGGTCCATCGCCGCATCCCCATCCCCGTGGTCTGCGGCAGCGCCGCCTGCGCCCGCGCCGGCCTGCTCTGGGACGGCGCGCCACCGCTCGTCGTCCAGCATGTGCCACCACCGCCGATCCGGGTAGCCGTCGTACTCGACCTCGTGCACGATCCGTCCGTCCAGACGCATCCAAACCGCCGCATTTCGACCGCCGAAAAGTCTCCCACTCGCGCCCTCCCCAAACCGAGTCCTCTTGAGCACTTGAGCACTGGATAGGGTCGGTTCCGCATGGTACGGGACCCCTCGATCGTCTCGCCCTCCCTCACTGGTGTGTTCATTGGGGGGGGTCATAGCAAACACGGTACAGGATCGAGGTGCACGCTGCCGAAGCAGTGTCGTCCCCCCTCTCCCCGACGGCGATGGCGGTGTGACCGATCGAGCTACAAGAGGAGCTTGTTCAGCAGGATCCGGGATAGTCTGACGCACTACCTCACTGGGCCTGAGATCATCGAGACAACACCCGTCACCGTCTCGGGTTTGCGTGGGATCGAACCACTCCGGGATGGGCAAGCCCATCAATTTTCACTGTGTTTCTCCCCTGCACCTGCAGGGGATAGCGGGAGAGGGGTTGGCTGGTTAATTGTCAAACTTCCTGTTGTGCAAGAGGGGAGAGGGCTCTGACGGAGTGTGTGGCGGGAGAGGGCAGGGAATGGGCGCGGGGGCTGGGGGGGGGGGGGGCTCAGCCGTGCAAAGAGCATCAATTAATAATAGCAATGAAGAACTATTGCTCGGCCGTCCATGGGGTTAATTGTCAAAATTCCTGTTGTGCAAGAGGGGAGGGGGCTCTGACGGAGTGTGAGGCGGGAGAGGGCAGGGAATGGGCGCGGGGGAGGGGGGGGGGGGGGCTCAGCCGTGCAAAAAGCATCAATTAATAATAGTAAGGAAGACATATTGCCCGGCCGGTCATGAAGTCCGTCTCGATTTTGGTTTTTTTCCCACAGACCACTCGGGCAACTTTTACGAAAGGCAAAAGTTGCCCGAAAGGCAAAGTTTTACTTGACCACTCGGGCAGATTCGATTGCATTTTACCACTCGGGCAAACTCGATGAAACGGACGGAAAACGCGTTTGCGACGGCTCGCCGGAGAGCTATGTATGGAGCGGCCGGTGCGCCGCCGCAGCTCACCGATGGAGCCTGCGTCGCGGCTCAATCCACTGACGCAGCAGCACTGCGACACACTCTCCGAGCACGGCCTCTGGCGTTTCGATTGCACAGAGAGCGAGCAATAGGCGCCAAAAGCACAGATCTGTGTGCAGTGGATCTCCATGTCGGTCGCGCCCAGCGAGAGGACAACCACGGGCCTCGGATGCTCGCCCGGACGCGAGCCCACCGTGCGAGTTGCGGACCCGGAGGCGGCCGGCCCAGCTCACCCCCCGAGGGGCCATGCCCAGGGTCAGGCATAAAAGGGGGGTGTTTTCCGTCCGTCCGTCGGCCTCTCTACAGTTACATACCCGCAAAATACCCGGTATTTTGCCAATTTGGCTGAATTTGGCCGCAAACCAGCCTCAGACTCACTCGGCTCAGATCCCGAAAAGTTGATGATTCCACAGAGTTTCGTAATTTACCATACCACTCTCTGCTCATACCATACCACTCCCTAGGAG